GACCGCTGGTGCATTGATCTCCTGTCTACAGATGTGTTTTATCAGGTCAGCGCACAGAACAACGTTACAGCAAACAAAAGCAGGGACAAAACAACAGAAATACAGAGAGAGAGATTTACTACAAAAACTGATTTACTTGTCATTCTTTGCATAAATGTTGAGGCCTAGAGCGTCGACTCCCAGGAGCAGGTCTGTGCCCTTCTTGTTCTTGATGTCAAAGTAGTTAATGCCATACATCTCAAGATCCTGGGTGATCTTCAGGTACTCAATCATGGCCTCTTCCCTGTTCACATTAGATAATTAAATAAAATATTAAATATTCAACAGACTAATTTGTCTTTTACTTTATTTTGGGGGGTTTAAAGTGTGGCGGCAAACCTCCACCTAATAATCCATGTCCCTTATTAACTAATTAGAACCAAAAAAAGCAAATAATCATTACAACAGAGTGCGTGAAGCTTTTTTGGGCATCAAAAACACAGCAATGAGTTATAAAATAGTTGCTGCTGAATTTCTTTTTCCTTTATGCTAACACGGTTACACTGCAGCATCTGTAAAAGCTGAGTGATCATGAGTAAGAACAAAGCCTTTTAAGTCTACTTTACTTTACTGCTTGTAAAAGTTCACTGACTACAAAACTCCAGGACGCTGTGAGACCAAAAATGCTGTTCATTCTTAAAAAGTAAAGTCCTGAAAGCATCCATTTGAGGGAGGAAATTTACGCCACTCAGCCTTCACTTACTTTAGCATCGCTCCGTGCTCCTGGTGCCAAACCTGGATTCTCTCCTCCCACTGCTCCCTTGACAGCTTGTGTTGGTCCAGCACTCTGAGGGGAGCAGCAAGCTATCAGCAACCCATGCTGGTGAAAATGTAAACAGTCTGTGTATACATACAGGGTTAAAGCATACACATGATGCATTGTTGTGTCTTTCCCAGAGATCCTTTGTCAGGAGCCGAAGGGGCATTATCACACATTGGTTAATAGTTCGATAATTCGGGGAGGCTAGTAGCCAGGATGAGTTCCAGATTTGCTGTAAAGGAAAAGAGGTCATTTATCCAGAAGACTATCATTTATGATGCGGCTGTTCTGTCATTTTATGAGTGCAAAGTTGATGCAAAAACTACACCAATCACAGATAAATGGTCCTAATCTTCTTTTAAGTGCACTCAGCAAGGTAAAAAGACAGAGCCGCTTCATCCATGTGGTCATGTGTTTAATTTTAGAAAATAATCAGTTCACTAACTTTTAGGGGAAATAAGATGATGAATGACAAATTGTATTTAAAAAATGTGCTACTGACTATCAGAGCAGCTGATGTCTGAGAATTATTTGAGAGAATAACACTCGTAGTAATAAAACTGTGAAAGTCAAATCTAGTTGTAGCGTTAGAGGAATTTTATCTACATTTTGGAACGTCACAATTGTAAAGAGTTCCCGTAGGATGGATGCGGTGTTAATCTTTCAACTCGGATCACTGCTGCATAAATCTGCCCTTGCAAAAAAGCAGTAAAGTTGTACTGAGTTGCAAATAACTGATTTCCTGCTCACCAATGTGCAGCTGCTGCAGATCCACTCGCACTCACCTCTTGGGCAGAAGACGCTCAGAGGACATGTAACGTGGCTTGTGCGTCGACTTGTTGTACTCGCCATACTTTGCCTGGATGGCGTAGGAGCCCAGCAGCACGGCGGTCTCTGGAGGGCTGTAGATCTCCTCATTCAGAATCGCCTCCTTCACCTGGAGGAAGAAGAGCCTCCTGGTGATGTCCTGGATCAGCTCCTCGGCTGCATCCTCAGGGTAAAACTTGACCAACAGCTTGAACTGCAGGGGAGTCTCTTTCTTCACTTCCTGAGACATCACCTAGAGGGGCAATAATTAAAGAATAAAATATGATTGAAGTTCCTACAGCAGAGTAGTAAAGACAGCTAAATAAATAACAGAGTGTGGGCAAGAATCCCGTAGAAAAAGGGTCAAATTACTTTTACGAACAACACGTATTTTAACTCTCGATTTAACAATTAAATGCTTACTTGCACACAATACAGAAAAATCCAAATTAAATAGACACATAAAAATAATACAGTACATTTAATAATAAAAAAGATGTAGAACTGAGAGCTGCAGCAGGCCTCTGGGTTTTTACATTTACAATTAACAATTCTAAACAGAGTAGATGAAACAGAGGTTAACATCACTGCAAGTCCTCACCTTCTTTTCAGAGTTCAACCATGAGGTGAATCCTCTGATGTCAACAAACTGCAGCCCGAAGTACCAAGTCTCACGCAGGCCGATGGTCCTGGAAACCTTCAGAGTGGAGACATGATAACAAAATCCTGCACATCTTCTCAACAGCTTCTTCACTTTTTAATCAAAACCTCCTCCATGACTCTTGCGGTAATTTCTCCCTGAAGAATAAAACCTTTGGATAAGATTACAGAACTTTTAAATGAGAACGTTAAGCTTGTTTTTTTGATATTTTTTTTTTTTTATCACAAAGGGGCTCATTAAACTGGCCAGCTTTTACCAGACTAGATCTGTGGGACAGCTATGGTTACTAGTTGCTTTGCTGATGGAATAAAATACCCACTGGTTACAGTTAAGACCATTTATCTGCAAAACAAATACCAACGCGAGTGTATCTGACTGAAAGTATTTCTCTGCTGAAGTATTTCAAAGGTCTGTACTGTATTTACACTGTTGTATTTGCTGCTACTTGGCATTAATCCATCACTTTGCCAGTCCATTTTATTTATTTATTTTAAATGCATGAAAGACTTCTCAAAAGAAAGAAAGAAACAGAAACTTTTCAGTCTACATAAAGTCATCCGGGATCTATAAAATAATACAGGATGTGCTTTGTGAACTGCATCACACCGACCTGGTCAAAGAGCTGCTTCCCTGTTGTGTTGGGGTGGAAGGAGAACTCCAGCTCCGCGTCCATTGTGGTGATGCGGACATTGACCTGCAGCATAAAGGTCATTTAGTCACGTGATGACAGAGATTTCTTTTTGTATACACATGAATCATATTTGCAAACAATCAGCTTCCTTTTCTCAGAGAATCTGTAACCGGGCAGAAATATTTTACTGTGATCTTATTATTAGTTTGCAGCGATCAGCGATCAGCCTGGAAACATAAAGATATTGTAGTCATATGTGTGAAGGAGCTGTGAAGTGGATTATTCATAAACCATAATTGCTCACTATCTCATTAGACTTCGGACTACTCTTGCGAGGTTACACAAGGTTGCACATACGCAGATTACAACGCTTGCAGAGTTGACTTTACCGTTGTTAGTCAAGATCAGCCTGTTTTATAACAACAACGATTAAAGTGGAAAAGAAATGACACTTTAAAATGTCTATAGAGCAGATGTTCAACATAAAAAAAACACACTAAAGCACCCAGGCTGTTCTCAACACACGGACCCTGATCACAGGCCAGATTGGGCTTGTAGCAGTTACACAATTGTTTTATGAAGTTATACTACAGCACGCCCCGGGTGTCATAAAGATAATCCCATCGAAACTTGAGCAGCAAAAGCTGGAACATCCATTTGTGAAACCTCTAACGTGTTACTCAACTGTTACCACCTCCAGTGATGGCATGCATAAGGTAATAGCTCAACTCGCTGACATCCTGCAGGTGTTTCCTACCTGCCACAACCTTAATCGCTCACTAATCACTGACTGTGGACATCACTGATGAATCATTAATCCATTAGACTCAGTCACCAGTTTATACCGTTGAGCTATGTAGGATTATCTTAATTTGTTTATACTTGGATTGTGCTTTTTGGTACTGTCGCACCTCTTTTGTTTAGCTGTTCAAAAACCGTTTTCCACAATGCAAACAACACCTGCAACTATGACTCATAATTTTATTTGATTTGTAGTTAGTTTAAGGTCAGTCAAATGGACGTAGACGTCAGAATGACCTCTTAAGAGAGGCTTTCTCCTTGCAGTGTCAATATAAGCACAGAGCTGCTTTCGTAATGCACAGGCCAGTCGTTCTTATCAGTTTTCCGACAGACTGATGCTGAAAGCTTAAGTAACTGCGGACATTTAGAACATGAGAGTTTTCTTTGTTTAAGACAGAGGTGTCTTGTTTGGTGCAGGGTGCCTCAGAAAATCAAACGGAGCAGAGAAAAGCGGTTAAACTGTACAGTCATGAGTTCGTTCTTAGCATTTAAAAATCACTTCAGTGGCACTAAAGGGAATTACCATGATTGCAGTGCATTATGCATGCCCAGAGAAACAGCAGACAGGCTGGTTGCAGACCTGAAGTAGCATTTTTCTGTCAGGAATGTGAGCAGCATGGGTCAAACTCTACACTTAGTTAATGAGTAAATGCCAAGAAGGATCTTGGACTCTTGGAAACAAGAAGCTTGGCCAGACTGTTTATTTCTTTTTAAAAAAAAAGGACATTTAATTAGAAATTAAAGCTATTAAATCTGTATTTATGCAAGTAACTCTGAAATGTATCTAGTGGTCATTCTCAGCATAAGCAATTCAAAGAAACCACACAAATAAATGTATAAACCCACCACTGACATTTTTGAATATGCAACAGGAAGAAACACTTCAGTGACATATAATCATTTAAATCGTGGCGATCCTACCGTTTTGGGCATCTTGGCTGCGTTTGGTGGCTGAGTAGTACCAAGTGGTTCCCAGGTTGTCACAGGTTGCAGTGAACGTCTCCCAGCTGAACGTGCGCCTGATAAAGAGCACAGCACCGCTCTCGCTCGAAAACTCCTGGGCAGGGCTCGTGCCCTTTGAACTCAGCAGATTACGCAGAGTGACGTGAGAGTTACTATCACAAAACTGAAAGATTTACTTCCAATGTGGCCACTGGCAGCGCAAGATGCGTAATTCCACCCAAAGACTATCACCTGCTTCAGCACCTTAAGTACTGCGACCTTTGATCAGAGCAAGCAAGACTATAAGGGGCCGGACGATCTATTTATGTCGCCTGTTTGGAGGTGACAGCAGAGAGGGCTGTCATAAAGAGATCGTGTCAAGGTAACACAGTTGTGTGTGGTAGAACACGGATGAGACCAACAAAAGATTAGAACATTTTCAGACTTTAATGAGAATTGTAGACGAACAAGTTGAATACATGTGGACCGATGAACACTAACAAAGCTGCAGATTTATTGTTTCCTAAACATAAATATTCCACTGAGTCATTCACATAATTCATTTAGTTTCACAGTAAAATACAGAGTTCAAAAAATGAATTGATTAGTGACAAAAATTATCAGCTACAGTCTCTCATTTATAAAAATAAAACAAAACACTGCAGCTACAGTGCATGAAGATTATTTTAAGTTTGCAAGGAGCTTTGAGCTCCTAATGTTTAGAGTATGAAATTAAATGGCTTAGAGCACTGTGAGAGGAGCAGGAGGCATCTTGATCTGTGCTTAAACTTCTTTAAATGTGTCTCCGGGAGACCGTTAACTATCTGCATACTCTTACTCCAAAGTCCCCGCTTTTTATCTCAGTCAGATGATACAACAGGTATTAAAGTAGTTGGTGCACCGTAAACTGGTCAAAGCTATTAAAGCGCTATTTAATTCTCAATCTTGAGTCAACAGGATAATGCTTCTCCTATTATTGCACATGTATCAAACTTCTTCATCGCGATTCTTGTCAAGTAAAGTGACCACATGAAATTACATTAAAATTCATCTTTGATTTGAAAATGAGGCTGGTCCTCGGGTTTGAAGTCTTTGTTGGGACTTCCATCCTCGTTCAGGATACGGGATGCTGTGTAACCCACAATGGGATACTTGGCTTTGTAGGTGCCTTCAAATATACTGTCCAGAGACTTTAGCTGCTCTTCAGTGAGGCCTGTCTGTGGAGGTGAAGATAATTAAGGAACATTAATCAGTGCTTTTTTAATATATGTGTGTTTTTTAACCTTTGAGCATTCTGACTTGTGGAAAAGCTCGGAGACCTGTACCTGGGAAAAGGGGTGTGCTTTTTGGGAAAGCTATGCTTGCCTATTTGCCCCCTTTTATTTATTTCGTTTGCTAAGAGTTAGAAAGAAAGACTATTAGCACTTATGCAAAGAACTTACTTAAAACAGCGAGATGATTACTTCAGTCTTTTACAATAAAAAGTGATCTAAATGAACTTTTACTTTAATAAAAGTTGATATAATCGCATTAGCACAGTGTTGTTTATGTTCCCTAAAAGATCCTATTTATTCACCTTAGTTTCACCTCATATTTTTCACACAGCTGTCAATACCTCACCTGCACCTGGGTCTGTGAAACTGTCCCTTTAAATGTATTTCCTATGAATCATAAGTTGTCTGAAATGTTCAAATGGTGACATTTTGTAAGGAAGTCTGGCATTTTTTCACCTTTTATGGCCTTTGGTGTTACAGAAACTTTGTGATTTATTGTTTTACTTGCTCCAGTCACTTTGCTTTTTAAAGTGTCTACACCGGGGAAAAATGTAGTCAGAGCATTAATGAACTATTGTACAATCCTGTCCAAAAGCCTTGAGCCACACCTCATTCTTTATCTTATGCTGGGAAAATGGGAAATTAGTGCAGTGATTTATTGAAATATGTTTGCACATACATGGAAACACAGAATGTGAGTGAAAAACAGAGTTTACACAAATCTAAGGAGCATGAAAGTCAATATTTGTTATGACCACCTTCATTCTAAACTTCAGTCTAAACTTAGTCAGCAGTGTCTTCGTCAGTTTTCTTGTAATTTCTTTAAGTAGTTCTCAAGAACAATTCTCCAGGCTTCATGAAGGATATTCAAATATCTTCTTTGGATGTTCTTCTGTTGTTCTCTGTGCTTCGTTAACGCTGAGTTATAGAGTTTTACTGTGTGTTTTTCTACCCTGGTATGCTTTTCCTGCACTAACAGTGTGTTTGGGATCATTGTCATGCTGAGCAATGTGTGACACTGCCCCACGCCACATAATGGTGGGATGGGAAAATGTCTCATATGTAGAGTGAGACTGTTGGATGAGCTACAATGACTCATATTAACAAAGAAAAGGAGAGCGGCACACTGTGCTGTATATTCTTTATCTCAACAGAAACTGCCTATTCTTTGATGAAGAAGATAAAACTGGTAGAAATTTTATGTTATCTAGTTTTTTTTTCTTATTTCAAAAAATAGATATGTATTTGTTGCATTTAGTGTCTTCATCCTCCCCCTACCTGTTACATTCAATCTGCACGGCCAAAAAGAAATTTGGGGGGAGGGGGGATCTCTTGCATTAAATGTCAAGTAGAGCAGAATATAAAGAAATGAGGGGTGAATCAAGAGTTTTGCACAGTACTCTACGTTCAGCTGAAACTCACAGTGTCTGATGTCAAGTCTGCGGGGTCCAGTGACATCTTGGCCACAGCTCGAGTGGAGTCCTTACCTACCAGCGCATTATATGGAGCATCTTTTCCATAAAACTCTGGAATGGGTGAAATAAAATGCACATTAAAATCAACGCGCTGACAGCAGAGACTAATAAGCAAATGACCCGAGTCAGGTTAGTTTATAGAGAAAGCCTTCTAATGTGTTAAATCACTTTTTATTAGAACTGACTTTAATGACTGATTTGAATCCAGGAGTTAGATAATGTTTTTTCTACATCTACCTTTTCCCTTGGTGACATCAAACACAACCCCTTTTACTGCCATATAAATAGGCTGGCCCTCCTATAATAGGAAAAGAAAGAGCGATGATAAATATAGATGACTCTTAACAAAAAAAAAAAAAAAATGCACGCACAAGTAGACACGCGAGTTCATTTTCAGCAGCACATGCCGGGATTTTATTTCTCCAACAGTTTACCTCGCTGCCGTCGTATCTCTGCAGCTCCTCCTCGGTGAATAAACGGACAGGTTTTGGAGCAGTTTTGTGTTTTACTTCAGCATCTTCCGCTAAAGCCACGGCGAGGATGATAAATAAGACACAAAATCGCGCTGTTGCCATGGCAAGGTCGTTGTTTAAACAAGAAGTTCAGGCGGAAACTTCTTCATCCACTTCCCTTTCAATGCCCAGGTACTCTCTGGTCGTGATGCATTTGAAAGCCTCGGAAATTTCACCGACATTATTTTTAAACCGGTTCTCGCTGATATCTGTTTATATTCTGGACTATAAGCAATGAAGATGTGATTTTTGTGCATTTATTTGTCATTTGTATAGATTTTATTTAGACATAAATTTAAAAAATGTCATAAATATCTTATGAAAAACATAACACCATAGTCAAGTTCATTTGAGTAAAAAATAAACTTGTAGGAATGGGGTGGCATTTCAGTAAAAATGCGGTTTCTTGTCGCAGTAGCATGTTGTTGTTTTTTTAGATAAATGAGTTTTCTCATAAGTACATGAACGCAGCATTAGGAATCAACCTAAGGTAACGAGCTAGGACACAAGGAAGCCACAACAAGGAAACAAGATCGCATTGAATCGCGGCCCATGGGTCCCCTGTTATTATCGTGGGTTGGGCCTTTATCTACTTCTCCAAAACCCCCAGGGGTGGGTGCTGGTGTCTTTTTTTTTTTAACTATGAGACTTGAGCTCGGTGGAATGTGGTGTTTTTAAACATGTCAGGTTTATTAGGAGCAATCTGCTGAGTTGGCACAAAAAGCTTGAAGAGCTGCTTTAGGTGAAGTCACTGGAAGTTCCGCAGAGGAATGCTCAGAAAAGGAAGGTCCCTCTCATACCAGGAGGTAAGTTACAAGTTCCTTCGCGTTTGTGTTTCACTCTGAAATCTTTCATGTTTGTCTCAGTAATCACAGGACTGCTACAGACTGTAGGCTTCTTTTTTTTATTGTCTCTGAGGACAGCAGTAAAGTCTTTTTCTCTCGCTGTGTCCATGCTCCTGTCGGGCGTATTTGGCATCATGTGACTGAGCAGCCGTTTCCTGACTTCATGTTTCCTTTGGGTTTCAGCTATAGTTGCAGTATTCATTTAGATTATTCGCCAGTTCTTATTTTAAGCTTTAAAATAGCTGCAGAAATGGCGTAAAACCTTTTAAAACCACTGGTCGGTATGGCCATTTTAAAGCCTCGCTTGCATTTGGAGCCAGCGCTGACTTGGTCATTAAGTTTGTGGTGCTGTCAGGTGTTTTCATTGTTTAGGCTCTCCTCACTGAAAGATGGTTTGGACATAATGTAAAACAGACAGTGTGATACTTTTTTTTTAAAATGTGTATTTTATTTTAACTTATAACCACTGACCTTAAATATCAACACCAGATAAGTTAAACTGTTTTGTCATTGGAATATTTGATTGCAGGTCAGTGAAATGAAAGAAACAGTAATCATTGTTGTTGTGACTAAATGTCAGGTTTGTAGAAGGCAAAAGTAGTGAAATGTTACTGTTTTCTATATTTTGTAATTTCTTTTGAGACAGGGGGTCTTAAAAGAAGGGGTTAAAGTGGGATTTAACAGATGAGGGAATCCTAAAATTATTTAAAGAAAATAATTACAAGATGTGAAAATTTGTACTGTGAGCTCGAGCAGATTTGTTTTGTGTGTGTGTGTAACCATGATCGGCTGACCTGTGTCCCTGCTTCTCTAAGGTTCACTGCTCTTTGTGGACTTAACTGAACTAAGTCCTAAAACTAGACTTGAAAACAACATTTTAGTTAACAAAAATGAAAAACTAAACCAAATTAAGTAAAAAAAAAGTAGAGGGAAAAATATTAAGCTTTAGTATCTGTTAGTTTGATAAAGTTTCAATAATAACTCGCCCGATGAGACATTGATGGACATCGACCAGCTGTGTCCAAAAATTTTGAGTATTCAAATATCTGAGCTCATTTTCCTAAATCCTGCCTCTGACGCGTGCCCTCCATAGAGTAAGAATTAAAAAGATTAACTAATAGAACTAACTTTTAGAACTAATCCTGAAACTAGTAAAAACTAAAATAAAATTAAACATCTTCCAAAAATAAAAACTAAACTCACACAAGAAAATGTGCTGAGGAAACTAAAAACTAGTAAGTTAAAAAAAAATAAAAATAAAAAAAGTCAAAATGAAAAAATAAAAACCAATTTGAAAATACGATACTATAATAACTCTGATATATACAGATCTGCTGTTTGATATAACCTGACATTGAGCATGAAAACTGCAACCTGTCAGCAAAAACAAACTGATGTTATATATGATATGAATGGTAAATGGTAAATGGCCTGTATTTGTATAGCGCTTTTCTAGTCCCTAAGGACCCCAAAGCGCTTTACACAACCAGTCATCCACTCATTCACACACACATTCACACATTGGTGATGGCAAGCTACATTGTAGCCACAGCCACCCTGGGGCGCACTGACAGTTACATGAAAACATGTAACTATAACAGATGTTTACATACTACTAAAATATGACAAGTTAACATGTGGAAGATGAATACATTGCAACTAAAAGGTGTGGCGTTACTGAGAAGGGAACAATATACCAAAAACAATAGTGTATGTATGTATGTATATATATTACATATATATTACATATATATTACATATATATATATATATATACATAAAACTTACTGTCTTTCAGGTATTCACCCAATAAAGGACCACGAACTCAATAGGTTGAATGCCTTTCAGGCACTGCTACAGTCTGCACCTGTCTTGTTTAGTGGCTGCTCCATACCACAGGACAGACTCAATGACTGCAGTTTAGAACTGGATCAGCATCTCCTGTGGAAGATTATACTTCCCCAGAAGGGGCCGAGTGAATTCTGAGGTGTTCAGAGACATTCAGTCTGCTTAAATGCAGCCAACCGTTTCACAACACAGACGGACAATGACCTAAAACATGGATCCAAAACAAACCTTTATTTTGTTTATTGAAGCAAAGAAGTGGACAAGTGGATTATTCTTGTTGAGGACTAAACTTCAGACAGAAAGGCCCACATACAAACAGCAACCGAAAGTTGCTCCAGTAAAGGCCTCAAAGCATTAAAAAGGAGGAAACCCAGCAATCTGATGTTGTCCATGAGTTCAAAACTTTAGGCCGTCATTGCCAGCAAAGGGTTTTGTATTAGGTTTGATTCATCATTAACTGAAGATCTCAGAGTGCTATTCCACTCCACTTAAAATGGATACAAATGTGACCCCACCTTAGTAATTGTTAGGATTTTAAGTATAGTTTTACTATACTTGTAACCAGAAATAGGTGTTTAAATGTTCTTTTTTTAACCTCACAGTTCAATGATGATGATGATGAAGGGGGGGGAGATGAAGATGAAGGCAACGCACCGTCTCCAGTCTTTTTTGATGATGTCACTGAAGACCCGGAGCATGAGAATCCTGATAGCAGCATCTCACAAAGTAGTAGGAGACGTGTTTCTGCACCACATGCTGGACACTCATTACACTGATATATTTTTTATGGGTCCACGCTTTTGTGGCATGTAATTGGATTTGTCCACTCAGATTCCTGCCTTTACCCCTTTGTCCCTACAGCACAGGATGACGTTAGGTGGACCAATCCACCTATGAGATTCAGTAAAACCTGTCTGAAGAATTTCTTCACGGTGGTGCTCATCTTCATCTACCTGCTGCTGACTGCGGTGGCAGCATTCCTGGCCTACCAGACGATCTCTGACTTCTTGGAGAAACTAAACAACCCCGTTATGTCCGTCATTTACAAAGAGGTTGACTCATTTTCATCTCCTGGTTAGTATGAATGATACACTTTTTGGGGCATATTTTAGGACTATGACTGGGTTAGTGGGTGTTAAGTGTGCTGTTATGTCCAAAACATAGAACAACAGGTAACTCATTTCATCCAGAAAATACAGATTGCACTACACAGCAGCACTTCACATTGTTTTTTATAAGCATTTAAATCTGCCTTTATCAGCATTTAGCAGGAAGGAGGAACACATGCTCTTCATGTAGTGGTTGTCGTGGCACTAGATGGAATAGTATCTGAGTATACAAGGGGATATAGCTGATTAACCATGCCATTAAGATATGGGACAGAGATTTTGAAGCTAAGTGAGCAGCTGAATGTCTTCATGAAGAGAAAGAGCACTACAGATGGCCTGTATTTGTATAGCGCTTTACTAGTCCCTAAGGACCCCAAAGCGCTTTACATATCCAGTCATCCACCCATTCACACACTGGTGATGGCAAGCTACATTGTAGCCACAGCCACCCTGGGGCGCACTGACAGAGGCGAGGCTGCCGGACACTGGCGCCACCGGGCCCTCTGACCACCACCAGTAGGCAACGGGTGAAGTGTCTTGCCCAAGGACACAACGACCGAGACTGTCCAAGCCGGGGCTCGAACCGGCAACCTTCCGATTACAAGGCGAACTCCCAACTCTTGAGCCACGATCGCCCAGAATGGGATGTTTGCTTTGAGAGTGTCGATGGAGAAATATAGAGACGGTCAGAAGGAGTTTCAGTGTTTCTGTGGATCAAGAGAAAGCATTTGATAATGGAGAGGAGTGTCAAAGGTGATTTGCAATCGAAGGATAGCAGCACTAGAGAAAGGAAAGGTTTACAAGATAGTAGTGAGACCTGCTATGATGTATGATTTTGAGATAGGAGGCAGAGCTGGAGTTGTCAGAGTTGAGAGGTTAAAATGTTCAATGGGAGTGACCAGTGACCAGTCCATCAGAGAACCAGTTCAGGTTGAGCAGGATGGTGGATATAGCTGCCAGGCAGGAGGAGAAGAGAGAGACCACAGAGGAGGCTCATGGATGTAGTGAAAACGACATGCAGAGGGTTTGTGTGACAGAGGAGGATGCTGGGGATAGGGTGAGATGGAGCCAGATGATCCACCCTGGCAAAGATTTTAGAAATGAATACTTCTTTGCTCCTTTTCATTATCACACCTGGCCTGTTTTCTATCGCGATAAACCCCAAATTATTGTTGGTGACAAAATACTCAATAATTGAATAACACTGTGACAGAAGGCAGGCGCTAGTTATGTGTGAATAATTTGTATTGCCTGCTGTGTGGCCACCAGAGGGTGTATTAAATCTGAAAACTTTTCTAAAATTGCAGCTTATCAAATGTGACTTGGTCAGTTGTTGCAGACA